CTTTCCTTCTCACACATTCTTTTTCACCGATGGTTCCAAATCAGAGAAGGACAACTTGGATGGATGCGCCTTTGTCTGTCCCTCTTTAAAATTAACATCTAAATTTAAAATTTCAAATCATGCCTCAATTTTTTCTCTTGAAGCTTTTGCAATCTTATTTACTTTAGACTTCATTATTAATTCAGATCTTCCCAATACTGTTATTTTTTCAGATTCCCTTAGTGTTCTTAAAAACCTAGCTTCCAAAAACATTTACAAAATTAAATCTTATATAATTTTTGCTATTAGAAATCGCTTAAAAGTTCTTTCCAACTTAAATCGCCCAACATCACTCGTTTGGATCCCTGGTCACTCAGGAATTGACGGAAACGAGGAAGTAGACAGAGCAGCCAAGGATGCATCCACCAGTCCTCCTCAATTAAACATACCTCTCGCTTTTTCCGACTTTTTCGGTCTCGCTCGCAAACAGCTATCTGATAGCTGCATTTCATACTTTCAGGATGTAGGTAAGAACAAAGGTGCTAAATACACACAATGTTTCTACCAACCCAGAAAGAAACCATGGTTTGCGAACTTTGTGGCTCGTAGACTTTGGATCACTTCTATTTGTCGCGCAAGAAGTAATCACTACAATCTTAACGCCAGCCTCGCCAGAAAGAATTATATAAAATCCGGCGATTGCCCACACTGCCCCAATATCGATGAAGACCTAGATCACATACTCTGGTCTTGTCCCAGATTTAATTCTTTTCGTCCAGATTTAATTAAAGCTCTTTCAAGAGCTTTAAAATGCCCCCCTCCATTTTGCAGTGTACAATTTCTCACTAACCCTAATCCTAGGGTCGTCTCTCATGTTTTTAGATTTTTGAAACGAGCTAATATCAAAATATAATCATCTATTTACTTTTTATAATCTCGCACTTTTATTTAAATTAAACATTCATCTACTCAAATTCCATTGGTTCATCGGGATGCAGACTGGGTGCTGCAATTGGCTCCCCAACTGCGTTCTCGTGCGCGTGCGCGCCATTCGCGCAGACAAACTTCACTCGTTCACGGGCTTTAAGCCTTATTCACTAGTCACCAGGTCATGGCTGGATATACACGGCGCAACGCCAGTATAAATGCCAACGTCAAACTTTACAATTACAATTACGAAACTGTTGCTTCGAGTGGTTAAGACCACTCGTTGCATTTCACTCGAATCGTTTCGTCTATGAACGCCTAGTGAACAGTTCGAGAATACAGTTTTCGACAAAGTTATTCGAAAGTCTTCGATTCGTGCACGGAACTCATTTCGAGAATAGCACCCCAGGTAGAAAGAAAGGCAAAGTGGCACTTCACAACACATGTTTTACAGACATGTGTAAATTTATATACAAAGAAACGAATTATAAAAAAATTAGGAATATTCTATTTTTATAATTATGTTCGAAAAGTAAAGATTTGAAAACAACAATAAAAATAACAATTTTTAATATTTAGATAGCGTCAGAAAAAATTTCCCCAATGAAACAGCTGAAAATATTAGATTAATTGGCTCAAAATGGCTCTTACAAGCCAAAGTTCGAATGGAAAGAGAAGCGTAATAAAATAAATAATACACACATTGTTTAAAATAAATTAGATAAAAATATTCTTAAATTTACAGTTTTTTATCTTTACAGAGCAAAGAAAAATGGTAAGTCTGCAGGGGATGAATCGGAGGATGATGAGGCTGAAAACTTGTATCAGGTTTCTGATGCAGAAGAAGTAGATGAAGAAAATGCCTAAACACTTTCTTTATTTTTTATGTTTATTTCTGTTTCATTAAAGTAAACGACAATTTATTTCTATCAAATACAATATTTTTTGGTTGTGAACCGTATTTAATAATTCATAATAAATTTAAATATCATTGAGATTAATGTCTTGTACTTTATTTTTTGTTCAATAGTTTTTAGAGTAGGTTAATTTTTTTAAAATAAAATTTCACTTTATTATCGTTAATTCTTATTTTGCTAAAAATTTGTTCAACATATTTTTAGAATATTTCTGAAATTTTACATTGAAATGTTTCAAAAACCTACAAAGCAATATTTCAACAATATTACAAAAAAATTTTCTAGCAATTTTCAAATAATTTATTCGAAAATTTTTTTGTAATATTTCTGGAATGTTTTATTGCAATGTTCCATGAGTCGGACATAACAATGTTTATGAAATATTGCAGCAATATTAGAATTAAATGTTTCAAATGACTCAAAAAAAAATTGCTGCAATGTTACGTGTTACGTGGGATATTTAATATTAATCAAAACTTTAATCATATTAATCTTTATTTTCTTTAAACTTTATTATAAGTTATTTGTCTGTTAATTTAAGCTACAATATGAGATTTTTCTTTAGAATGCTAGTTTCATCCAACATTTTAATACTCAGTATTAAAATATTTTTCAGACTTTTTCTTTCCGTGCACTTCTTAGTGGGCACCAAGATATCTTTAGGATGACTTTAGAACGTTCCAAAGTGTCCTAGGACAATGCGTCAATGATCCAAAGACATAAAAAAGACGACTTAAAGACGCCCAAAGTATATACTATGTCTTCCCCAGAACAGTCTTAAGAATGTCCTAAAATTGTCCCAAAAATGTCTTTATTACGACTATAGAAAGTCCTCAGAATTTCCTAAAAATATCCCCGAAATATCAAAAAACGTCTTAAGAATGTCCTGAAATTGTCCCCAAAATGTGTTAAATACGTCTTCAGAAGGTCCCCAGAATGTCCTAAAAATATCCTTGAAATGTCAAAAAATGTTCTCAGAGTATCCTAAAAATGTTCCAACCATATCCTGAGAATGTTCCAAATATGTCATGAGAATGTATCAAAAATATGCTGAAAATGGCTAAGTAATGTACTAAAATGTTCCAAAATTTTTGATAACCAAAATGAATATTACGTTGAAATTATGTATACTTCATAGGCTAAAGAGCGCGTACTGTAAAGGGTATTAAGTCTTAAACGCCAAACGACCCACAACACCGAAGTGCTTTTGAAGATCCATATACACAAAAAAAGTATATCGCGATTACTAGTCATATATATTGATCCTTATGGGCTAATTCGCCGAAAAAGGATTATGTTCTGAGAATGTACTAAACATGTCCAAAAAATGTCCAACAGACTTCTTTGTAATATCCTCAATATGTCTAAAAAATGTACTGAAAAGAATCAAATTTTTTCCATAATTTTCAAAAATATCTTAAGGTTTCTTAAGGATATTTTTGTAACTGCTCTAGGCCAGACATAGAACTTGTTTTGGATGTCTTTATTTCATTCTTTCTAACATCTACAGGATGCCTTTTTAGGGACTTTTTTGGGATATCCTAAGGATATCTTTAGAACGACTTTTTAACAATGTCCCAAGAACGTTCCGAAAAGGATGTCCTTGGGACATCCAGCGGATGACCGTGCCCATTAGGTTACCTCTTATTAGAATTTTTAAAAATTATAATAAAGATAATCTCGAAATTAATTAAATAAAGCAAAATAACCTCAAAAATGGTTTGCTTACATTTATGGTTATGAGTATCTTTTCTAAAAAAAACATTACGATAAAAGGTCGAATAGAAAAAAATCGAACTCGAAAAAATATCGGAATAAGAAATGAGCATTGACAATGAAAAATGCAAATAGAAGGGAAAAATATATTTCAAGATTAGAAATGTACAGGTGGAGCTGCAGTTGATTTCGTCAAAAATGAGCGCTAATATTTAAATTATATATAAATCTTATTTGTCATAAAACACAAACATTGAAAATGTTTAAATTGTATTATACAAAAAAAATTAATAAGTACAACACTATTTTACACAAAGCGGAAATTAATTTCGGATCTCCTTTAAGTTTTTTATCATGCTTTTAGATTTTAACAGGTTGTAAAAATCAACATAACCTATTGAGTTAAAGCCACTTGATTGGTCAAAATAATTAGCGCGCGATAATTTTAAAATATGTCATTCAACTTAATAAATTATTTTCTTTTGTTATTAATGAATAATTTATAAAAAAGAAAAATAAACATAATTACAACTGTAGGTAGTGAAGAATATTGTTTTTGAAGACATTTTTTGATGGTTTTTTTTAAATTCATGATTTACAGAATGTAATTTTTTAAATTACCATTTCAGTGACTATTTTAAAAGACTGAAAAATTTATTTTCACTAACTTCACATTATAATTAACAATTTATCAGAAATTTAAATTATTTATCTAAAAAGTTTATAAAATAAAAACCTTAAATAAAATCCATTAATAAAGTATTTTATCAACAGACTATAATCAATTATAAGCAAATTAGGAAGTAGTACCATAAAGATGAATATAATTTAAAAATAAAAAAAGGAGAAAATGATTAGTGCAAGAGAGATTATAGCGTAAATCACTCTCTCTTATTTTATATTCATAAATTTTTTCTTTACATTTTGAATGGATATGGGATAAAAAAAAGCAAGAAGAAATCAAATCATTTTTTAAAATGAAATTAATAAAATGGAAATTGAAAAAGGAACAGAAGCAACGAAGACGGCCGCTTGCGGCCGTCGGAGGCGCTAGTAATTGATAGAAATGAAACCGCGGTTGTATCGATAAAGCAGGTGCGTAAACACCTTTTGAATGCAGAAGATTGCGCATTGCTCGAATTGAAACTGAAAACGATTGACTGATAGGAAATATTAATGCGAGAAAAATAGTTGGAAAGTGGCGAAAAGTTCAAACACACGTAATTGATATAATATACAAAAATTTAAAAAAATTCCATGATATGATTAGAAATTCCATGAAATTTCCATGATTCCATGATCAAAAATGAAATTCCATGATTTCTATGTTTTCTGTAGAAACCCTGACCAATTTTTATTTTCCACTCTGCTTAGGCCTTGAGCCCCTCTTGTGAACAGAAAATATACAGACACTCGAATAATACTAGAATTAAAAAAATTAGTTAATAATTACACCAAAACTTTATTCATGTATGAATATTTATTAAAATATTATTCGACTATTTTTCATTGGTGAATTATTTACTAAAAGCTAATCATTAAAATTCTCCTGAAACAAGGAAACTGATTTATTAATTGTCTAACAAGATGTTTGTCATTAATAGAGGAATAAAAACATTATATTTATTTAATCTCTAAATAAAACAATTTAGCAGATTTATCACTAAGCAAACAGCCTTGTGAAAAAAAAATAATTTAAGAATCCCTCGTCTTCTTCATGAAAATTATCAATTTCATTTGTTTTTTCCTTTTCTTGGACATCTAAAACGTTTTTTATATGTGATGAAAACGGAATTTCATATTTTGATGAAATTATTTCCAACTGCGTATTGTCTAATTTATTTGATTTTGACTCTTCATTCGAAGACTGCTCATTTAAAATTACTTTATCGCATGTCTGTTTGTCAACAACACTTGTCAAAAGTTTCTCTCTATTTTCCTTATACTTTTTATAATTTCTGGTTGCTTCTCTCATTCGGCATAAATAATCTGGTAAACCTGAAAAGAAGCATAGCAATTTTAGAAAAGTAATTCGTGCTGTAAGCTAAAATTAAGGGTTAATCCTACTTGTCAGTATCAAAAAATCAATTTTTTTGACCCTTTCGAGCTTCCAGCTCGAATATATGTACCACCTACAAAATATGACATAACTCTTATAAATTTGAACGAATCAACAAATACGCTTGCTAGTTTTGTTTACTGCCGTTACTACTATGTATAAAAAATTGATAAATAACATAGTACAATTATCATTATTATAAACAATAGGTATAATATTGGTAAAAAAAACTCATATTTGCTTGAAACTTACCAGTCGGGGTTTTTCGGGATCGCTGATTCCAAATCTGAAGTTATATTTTTAAAATTAAAAAGGGCGGATCCAATATGACGGACTTTTATTCAGAATTGCTTATATTTGCTTAAGGGCGGAGTCTGGTCTATGTGGTCGAAAAAATCAATTTTTTTTATTGTTCAAATGTATTCCTTAATATGTGGAGAATGCTCTACTGTAGTTATTTTAACAAATTCGAACTGCAAATATAGTTAAATATTGTTGTAAATGGCGCGCATCAAGTACATACGTATACCACAATAACCGAAAACATTAAACGCGTTTATCTCGAAACCATGTTTTTCAAATTGGCGGGATTCATAGCTCATCAAATTTTCAAGCGATTTACTTCGCTAAGGTCTTAAATTAAAGATAATTAAATTTATATGCGGATGAACCTCGAATGTTCATCAATTTTTATTATAAAAAAAAGTAAGAGCAAAATAAGTCACAAAAATTATTATCTACTTTCTTTTTCTCGCCATTTTTACAAAAAAATTTTTTTTTACGTGAGGTTCATCCGCATTCTACGATCGTATTTTAACCAAAAATTCTTAGGATTTTTGTTTTAGACGATTTTTATGGACTCCAGAGCTCCCGCCAATTTTCACCCATTAATTATTATTAAGTTTTATGCAAAACTGTAGAGGGGGTAGGGGGTTCAAGTTTCTCATCAAATGTGAACAGTGGATTTTTTAAAAAATCGTAACTTCTATATAAATGGATGAAAAAAATTTTGACCTACATGTTTTCGAAGGGTTTTTTTCTGCTCTTTCGACTGGTGAAAACTTTTTTTTTTAATTTCAAAATTTACCCTTTTTTTGAAAATCAAATTTATTTTTGATTTTTTTTTAAAAGGACACTTTTTTCTTCTTTTTTTTACCCTCAAAATGAAGCTTAAGATATATACTTTCAATACTAAAAAAAACTAGAATGACGTTTTTTTTCTGTTTTCGAGATATTAATTAATTAATTTTGGATAAGTAGATTGTTAATAAACAATTAGTCAACATTGTTAGAAAAAAACCCTAATGTGATAAAAGAAAATGGACTTCAGATTCGTGTTCAACGACCCCAGAAATGTATAAATCTCCTACTCGGGTGAAAGGAGATTTTTATTGATTACTTATACTCCTGTGTCATTATTAAAAATTCGCACGTCGAAAATGAAAGTTCTCTTTCCATCCGTAAGGTGGTGTAAGCAAAGTTTAGTGACTTGCACTCCCCTATCCCAAACTTTATAAGCAAGAATTATCATTTTACAGAATTTCTTTTTTTATAATTTATTTTTTTCGAATATTGTTAGAAGGTTATTCTATTTTATAATAATTTTGATTTGTTTTGATTATGAATTGAAAAAAAGTATTTAAGATAAGTATATTTTACTAGATAAATAATAATTAATAATTTTCAAAAAAAAATTGTAGAAGTTTAATTTATTGAAATGTTTATTAATAATATTTTTGAACGTTAAGTAAAATGGAATGAAGGATTTTTTTTATTGATGGAATTTTTTTTAGTATGGATTTTTATTTACATACTTCTTTGTTTATTAGAATTGTAATATATTATTTTATGTAATTATTAACATTTTTATTCTTCGATATCTTCCTACAATTAATTTTTTTAAAAATGAATTTGTATTGAATTTACAATTAATATTTTGGAATTTTTGTTCCATTTATTTGTCGATGATTAAATTTTTTATAATATTTATTAATTATTATACGCAAATTTTAATACTTTTAATTTATATATGAGGCACTCCACGTCAAGTGATCCGGGTCTAAATTTTAATTACCTGGGAACAGGTTTAAAGTTTGCTTAAACTTTAGTCCTACTAGATACAACTTCAAGTACCAAAGATTATTAATTTATTTAAACAATTGTAAAAAGTGGAGGGAGTCAAAGTTTTAATTTTTTGCTCTACATCGTATATTTCAAAAATCTGCAATTCCTTTAAAACATAACAAAAGAATGTTTATTATATATGAATTTTTTTGCATTTTTTACGCACTTTCTAATGGTATAAACAATTTTTCGAAAAAAAAATTTTTTGACCTTGAAAAAATAAAATTAAAATTTTGATTTTTGAAAAAAAGACATCTTTTTTTAACTTTTTTATTTTTTTTCATAAAGTTAAGATAATTTCCAAAAAAAAATATGTAGGGCAAAAAGTGGGACGAGAACTTTTAAAGGGTCAAATTTAGCGATGATTTCTGCGGTGCGACATTGTCGTGCCCTGACAGTGTTTGCTTAGTTTTGATACAGTTCTTTCTGCATCCGCTAGGTGTCGACAAGAATGTATATGAAATTCTCTTGCTGGTGAGATTGAAACTAATAAGTATAAGTATAGAAGACTCTTGACTTTAAAATAATTGGTTTTCTTAGTCTTCTATACTTATACTTATTAGTTTCAATCTCACCAGCAAGAGAATTTCATATACATTCTTGTCGACACCTAGCGGATGCAGAAAGAACTATATCAAAACTAAGCAAACACTGTCAGGGCACGACAATGTCGCACCGCAGAAATCATCGCTAAATTTGACCCTTTAAAAGTTCTCGTCCCACTTTTTGCCCTATATATTTTTTTTGGAAATTATCTTAACTTTATTAAAAAAAATAAAAAAGTTAAAAAAAGATGTCTTTTTTCAAAAATCAAAATTTTATTTTTAATTTTATTTTTTCAAGGTCAAAAAATTTTTTTTTCGAAAAATTGTTTATACCATTAGAAAGTGCGTAAAAAATGAAAAAAAATTGATATATAATAAACATTCTTTTGTTATGTTTTAAAGGAATTGCAGATTTTTCAAATATACGATGTAGAGCAAAAAATTAAAACTTTGACTCCCTCCACTTTTTACAATTGTTTAAATAAATTAATAATCTTTGGTACTTGAAGTTGTATCTAGTAGGACTAAAGTTTAAGCAAACTTTAAACCTGATCCCAGGTAATTAAAATTTAGACCCGGATCACTTGACGTGGAGTGCCTCATATTACTAAATTTTTATTTATCTAAATTAATTTTATGATTATTTTTTGTTGTATTTTATTATTATAATATTTAATATTAATAGTTTAAAATTTTAATATTTATCTTTTAATTTACTTTATTTTTTACGTAAGATAAATTTACATGTTATTCACCATTTTGAATTTCGGATAACTAATTTCGGATTATTAATCAGCGACCCCAAAAACACTTGAATACTAATTGTAAGTTTCATTTAAATTCGTTGAACGTTTTATAATATTTTACTCTAATTTTGTAAAATATTTAAGGTTTATCTTTTGATCATAACCAACTTAGAAAATATTTAAAAACGAATTACTTTATTATTATTTATTTATTTATTTATTTACACTTGTTTTTAACCAAATTGGGTATACAAGCGGAGAATCGCACTGTTATACAAACAAGGAGGGGGTCCTTTATGTTTATTTCATAAACATTATGCTTCCTCATTGTGTGAAGCAAAAAATTCGCTTCCTCGTGAAGGAAGCAATGAATTTGTCCAATTCAATTGATTGATTTAAAAAATTTCGAGTTAAAAATGTTTTAAATTAATTAAATTTTTTGAAAAATAAAGAAAATTTTAATTAATTTTGAGTATAACATAAACTTTATATATACGAATCGATTCGTTTTAATGCAAGGAATACAATTATTTTATTCATCAACTTGAATTTTTAAAAAAACACAAAATTTTTTAGCTAAAATAAGAATTATCGATTTTTCAATTTTTATTAATTCTCAAATTTTAAATCAAATCTATACTTTATATATGCCAACCAATTCGTTTCAATGCAGGGAATAAAATTATTTCATATATAAACATGAATTTAAATAAACACATCATTTTTTAGCTAAAATGAGAATTTTTGATTTTTTAACTTTCATTAATTCTTTAAATTTCAATCAAATCTATACTTTATATATATCAATCGATTCATCTTGATATAAAGAAGTCGATTATATTATATATTACCTTAAATTTTTCGATTTAAAAATTTTTTCAATTAAAAAAAATTTTTTGGAAAAAAGACGATAAAATTTTTTTTGGGTATTTTTAAAAATCCTCTCGTCATTTTTAAGAGATTAATGTGTTAAATAAGCCTACCAAATTTTACCCAAATCCATTAAAACCTGTTAAAGATATCGTGTTCACAAAAACTATCCACACACACATACATACATCCGGACAATTGATCAGGATCTCATATAACATGTTTCTATATAGAGGAAAATTTGGTTTCACCATTTTTAAAAATTTTATAAACGAAAGGACTACATAGCTTCCTCCACGAGGAAGCAAAATGAGTGAAAAGAAACTTAGAATATAAAACACAGAAATAGGAAGTCAGCAAGGAACATAAAATTTAACAATACAAATGTGATTAGCCTGTAAGAGCAACACGTTCACTCAGAATCTAAGACAATAAGTAAACAAAATTAATAATAACTCTAGACTTAGACGACGAAAAAATACTAAGCCATCCATCCACACCATCTGATTTGCAGGAGACCTGGGTAAAAAAATTATCGCATAAATGAGCGCATGCAGGACAGTACACCAAGATATGGTGAAGAGATTCCCCTTCACGGCTGCAAAAAGGGTAGATAACCTCATTACGAAAAACATATGAAAAAGCTGATAGGTT